TTTTCACCTTCGTTTGTTTTCAAGCAGCTACTTGCTGTATATTTTCTAAAAACCTGTCAGTTTTTGTATTCTTTTTTTTTCCTGTCTTGTGTGTTCTCTCTATATTCCTCAATTTCTTTGCACCGACCTATTTAGCGAAACTTCTTTTGTTGCATTACAATTGCGTACGATCTGGCTATGTATTTTTTATGTTCATAATCCTGGATGGTGGGTAAGAAGGTAGTTGTACCCCACCAGGACATCACACAAGCGATAAACACCCGGTGACACAAAGGGCCACCATGCGGATGAGGATCACCCGTGGAGAGGTCCCAGAAACCCCTTTCAGCCGTTACGGCCATATCTATGACAAGGCCAGATTTATTCAGGGCCCCCGGACAAAATCCAGGGTGGGGCTTTAAATAACAAAACATTGCATTCCACATGGGGACGACTTTTATAATAATCTTGGTTGTGTTTGTTTATCCTTATAATTTCCATCAGATGTAAAATTTCCTGTGTCATCCATTTTTTACTTTGCTGTCTTTTTTCCTTGCAGTAGTGTTTCTCTTGATGTTTCTTGTAATGATTCTTTTAGCATGTACCATTGTACATCTATACTGCTTAATGTTATTGAGATTACATAATTGCTCTTCTCTGAAGAACTTAACAATAAATGCAATAATGAGATCACAGTCGTTGCTAAAGGACATGACAGTGCTGCACCAGTTGAAAACCGCCGTAAAAGCTTTGTACCAAACAGAGCAGAATAAACAAAAAATCGGTACTGCAACAATATAATGGACAAAGAATTTTTTATCAGATCAAATATAAGGTAAACCAGTTTATATATATATATTTATGTGTGTGTGTGTGTGTGTGTGTGTGTGTGTGTATTTATTTAGAGACATTTTAACGCTATTTTAACTCAAAATTAAAAATATGTTACCTTTTGGTATGTTTTTTGGACCCGCCCCCCCCCCCCCCACTCACCCCCGTCCCCGCCCATAAATGTAATTATGGCAGCCCTAATTTCAACACTACAGCATGTCACAAGAATTGCTATTCATTGTTAATGGAATCAGCAGTCACGACAAACCTAAAGGTGCACATGCATTACTGCATAAGTCACTTCAGTGGCAACCAGTCCCTCGGCATTTTCTTATTAAGCATTTTACAACACACATCTTTGGTAGCACAGACAATTAGGAGTCACGATGATATTATTAGTTCACAGTGTGGCACCATGCGGACAACACTGTAGCTGCCCGACGAAACACATATCGGGTGTTTCAATCGGGGCAGAATCCCGTATTACTTTCAAAACTCGGGCACTAACAAAGACATAGCAACGAAATTTGAAGTGGACTTACCTCCGTTCATGCGAGGGTCAGGTGACATCATAATAGTTAAGTGCTGAAATCGGCCACCATTGGCGTCCATGCAGAATTGAACGCAGCGTTCCGTGTTGTGAAAGTCCATCTCAAGTACGTCAGATGTTACTGCTTGAATGGCTACACTGATATTTGCTTTCAAAGCCTTTATAGTTCGTGATCATTCCCACCATCTCTAATGATGTCATCCAAATTTGCATGTACGCAGGTAAGTCTACTCCAAATTTCTTTGCCATATCTTTATTAGTGTCCGAGTTTGAACGAAATACTGGGTTCTGCCATGAGTAAAACACCGGATGTATTTTCCTTCGCCCAGCTACTCTGTTGTGCGCATAGTGCGAAATTGTCAGCTGTGAATATCATCAATTGTCTGTGCTACAGAAACTAATCACTGGCATTAAAAAGGCTAATGTCTGCAGTGGTTGGGGCATATGAAGAGAATAACAAATAACTTAAAGGCAGTAATTGCATACGCAGAAGAGATAAATGGGAGGAGTAGACTGCTAGGCAGACCAAGACAATTGTGGTAAAATTATATATATATTATATATATATATATAATATATATATATATATATATATATATATATATTTATAAATATATATGTATTATATATATATATATACATATAGATATATATTATATATATATATATATATATATATATACATATATGTATACATATACCATATATATATACATACATATATTCGCCGACCTACAAACTCTTGGAGTTAACAATGGATGAATGAAGGCGAGTGGTATCTGCAGAAAAAAAAAAAACCAAGAGCTCGAGATGTTAGAGAAGATAACGATAAGAAACTGTTACCTGAAACCCATCATTCTGCAGATAACAGCAGCATCTTGATCCTTCCAGTTATCATTACAGACTCGGTATCGTTCTTTGTTGATGACAACTTCCACAATGCCCTCACTTTTATCGCTGCCTCCTACAAACCCCACTGTGACATTTGCTGCGGGATTTAAAATGTCTGGCATAAAACAGTTTTACAACTTTTCTTGCGATTAACTTAGTGACTCTGACCCTCTTCTAGTAAATTCGGCTCACAATCTTCGAGTACAATTGTTCCATTTTCTAGCCTAACTGATGAATGAAATGGCCGCTCTAGTTGCATTCGAAGAATAGAACGAGAGTAGCACTGTGGAAGAGACTGGAATCTTACCACGTAATATTTTCCAGGAAAATTGTGAGTGCACTGCAGCCAGTCTTCATCGTAGAGCGGCACCCCTCCCCCCCTTCCCCACCCCACCCCGCTAACTCATTCAGTACCTCACTACTAAAAATAGCTGGCAGATGTCTATCTTTTATGACTATAGTGTTATTGTGTGCTACATAGGAGCACGACAATCAAAGCCTGTGGCGAGTGCCAGTGTCTTCTTCTTCTTCTTCTTGTTCTGCGTACATCCGAAGAAGTTTTGTTGCGACTGTTTGCAATTTGGCTGAGATATTTGCGCCTTTCGGCCGATACATCCAACTTATGCAGACATTTCTTGCCCAGCTCACCTTCCTGGTGATTGCGAGTGTAATTAGCAAGATCCGTTGGCGGTAATAAAAGCTTTCTACGGATAGCATTTCTTCTCAGGACTAGTGTTGCTATCAGATCTATTTATCTTTCTTCTTCTCAGACGTCCATCTATTAACCCATCTTCAATCACTGTATTATTTATGCCTATCCCTTTTATGGTGTTACGCTACCATTGAGCATTATGCTTTTGCGAAACACCTCAGTACCTGTATCGTTCATGGCCTGCTTGAACACATTTTCCAGCCTGTACAATCGTAATAGAGGTCGACCTCGACATCCTCTACCCATTTGTAATTGACTTCAGAGGATGTCCTTAGAGTATCTTAACATCATGTCTCCTCTACGAACGGCTTGATCATATAAGCATTTGAAAACTAAACACCGAGAAACGATTGTAATACCTTATATTTCGTTTCCAATATCTCAATGTTTATGGTCTTGTCTTGTCTCTCAATGCCATTTATTTTTCTTGGGCATCGCACGTGAAAACGATTTAGCCCTTTCTCCTGGTACGAATAAATCGACAATTTTCCCTTTTTTTTTCGGGTCGGTCTCCCAAATGCCCAGCCTGGCCGCCCGACTACCCGAAGGATATTACGTCATTAATCCAGACTGAACGGGGAAACCGTCCGGCAGATTTTTTTAGATGGCTTTGCCGTTTGGGTCTCACCTGTGATTTGGTTATGACCGATCCCGTTTTTTTTTCCAGCCCCAGTGCAGCAGAGCTACACTTTGATCTTAGCCAGAAGGGCGAAATATGTTTCCTAATGTAAAAAAAAAAAAAAATGACGAGAACACACTTGATATTCCAAGCAAAGTTTTCTTATAGGAAATTTGAATAACGAGGACACAGACAACATGTTGCATAATTGATTATCAGGCATATTCCGATGTGCCTTCTCAGGTACATTATTAGTACAGGGCTATATGGCCACATAGGGAGTCGCCGTGGCGGAGCGGCTAGACGCTCACAGCGGATCGGAAGGTCGTGGGTTCGCTCTCTGGAGAAGCCAGACTTTTTTTTTAAATGACCTTGGCTCCCAGGTGGACCCAGCCTTGAGTGGGTACCGGGTGCAGTCCCGGAAAGTAGAGGTGGCCGGCGTGAGGCTGACCACAGCACCCAACTTGTGCCGATTGGTCTAAAAATTATAGGGCTAGCCCTATATGCCCTAAACGCCTAAAGGCTTAGAAAAGGGCTTTTACTATACCTACATCATCATATAATGAAGCACACAAAACTGAATTAATTCTATTGAACTACACATACACATGGTCTCTCTCGATACATTTGTCTAATCGCCAGAAGTTTACAATAGTCACGTGACTTACCCGGTTAACTTCAAATTTATAGCGAATTCCTTCTGTTTACATAAGGGTGGATTGTTCAATTTTTTTTTTTTTTTTTTTTTTTTTAAATAAATCACCATTTGCCTATACGGTGTGTGCCACATAAAACAAAAGACAGCATCCGTGTCAATTACATGTTCGGGATCAAGCAAACGACGAAATATAGAAGAGTTAGGTTCTTTCCTCTTGATTAGTTATAATACCATTTGGAAACTCTCTACCGTGCATGGAACCTTTTGAATGTAGGTTCTGCCATTCTGTTTTCACATCAACTTTCCATTCGACAAATGGAAGTCAACTTTCACTTACATATCAATCGATAAATAAAATGGATTGGCGTGCAGAGACACTAGTTCTTTAACAGGCGGGGTTGGGCTGAAAGTTGCATTGTTTCTCACCCCTGGGACAGAGGACAAGAATTTTTGGACAATTGCTGTTTTTAGACATCATCATCATGTAGCAGGACCTTTGCAGAACGTCGCTCTCATCACAGTCTGCCTGAAAGAAACTCGGTCTCTCGCCATTTATCCTGCCTCATGCACTTTCACACTCAAGGAGTCACTTATATCCTGTGCCATCTTCGTGTTGGTCGGCCCCTGCCCCTTCTTCCTGGTACCATGCCTTCTGCTATAATTTTTTCCAATCCGTTGTGGCGCTTGATATGACCGAAATATTTCAGCTTTCGTGAAAGGATGCTGTTTATTAGCCAATCTTATTTATGTTCAGATCTTTTAAGATGTCAATATTTCTCATCTTCTTTGTCCAAGATATTCTGAGAATCTTTCTATAGCATTTCATCTCAAAAGCCCCTATTCTCTTTCTTAAGGACTGAGAGATAGTCCACGACTCACATCCGTATGTAGCCACAGGGAAGATGCATGCTCTCAAAATTATAATTTTGATCTCCTTGCTGATGCTTAACCATAGGCTTTTAAGGCTGTTCAATCTTTGCATTGCTTTGGCCATTCTCCTTTTAATTTATATTCAACAGTCTCCATTTTTCTTTATTATAGAGCCTAGATATTGAAAGTGTGTGACATTTTTAATTTCTTTATCATTTACTGTTATTTTTGGGTGGCAGCCAGTTTTATCTATGGACACCATTTTCGTTTTCATTAAATTCAAAAACAGATTTTGATCTTCACTATGCTTTTGGACAGCCAATATTTAATTTTCTATTCCCCTTACACTGTTTGAAAGGAGGACTGTGTCATCTGCGTAGCGGAGTTCCGTATTAGAGTTGCCACCAATTTTGAGCGGATCATAACTGTCACAAGTCTTGTCATGTTTGACATTTCTCATTATATTTTCTGCTTAAATATTGAAAAGGTATGGTGAAAGAATGCACCTCCGCCTCACCCCCTTTTGCACTTCGAACCAATTTGATGTTTCACCAGCTGCTCTGGTGGCTGCTTGTTGTTCATGATAAAGATTTTTAATTCAATGCACTAAATGCGCTGGAAACCCCATACTTTTCATAATAGTCCACAGTTTGTGGTGTTGGACACAATCAAATGCTTTGCTATAATCAATAAAACAAGCATGCAGATCTACGTTGTATTCTCTGCATTTTTCAAAAATTGTTCTCAAATTAAAGATGTGATCCCTAGTTCTACCCTCTCTGAATCCCGCTTATCTAGCTCATATTGTAATTTCCCTTCGATCCTTTTCATGTTTTAAGGCAGGTTCCGAAAATGTCGTGACATAACGTCGTCCTCTTGATAAGTGAATTGAATAAATACTTATAGTTTCAACATTGTAATTTCGTTTGGGGTATTCATGTGGGCTACCCATTTAGAAGTAGAATTATCTTAGATGTTTTATTTTCGGCTGTCAATACATCTTCAGCGCCAATCTTTATGGATAAAGTAAAATTAATTCATATATGTAATGCTTCTTTTTTAATTGATGTAACTTTGTAGTAATGCACCCTACGAGAGGTAGTGAAATATGCATTGTAATAAATTGTACAATGTATTTTTGTGTGTTCACATTATATAAAGGCGTAAACCTTAATGCTCATGAGCTTTGGTTTTAACGTTGATCTTTTTGTCCTCATTTATGGAGCGAAATGCTGGAAAATGACCAAAAAGGATGCACACAAGCTGTCCGCCTTCCACCACACATGTCTACACAGAGTTATCAAAATTTTCTGGCCTGATAGAATCTCAAACACTAAACTACAAGTCACAAACCAAGAAACTTTGGACAGTATGATAACCAAGAGGAGATGGAAATGGCTTAACCACGTTATGAGAATGAATCCTGATATACCTGCCCAAACAGCTCTCACATGGACACCAGAGGCGCCCAAAAACAACATGGAGGTGAATGATGGAAAGTGACCTGAGTGCGGCATCCTTGACATGGAAAACTGCACTGAAGATTGCACAGGACAGGAAAGCATAAAAAGACCTCTCTGAAGCCTCATGTGCCACTAGGCATAACAAGAACTGATGATGCTGATTTTTGTCCTCTCAAAAGGTTTGTGTAAATCTCTCGTTGTTATTGCGCCCTTATCAATCCTGATTTAAATGTCCTTGTCCTGTGGTGATTTATTACTGACTGAAGATTCCGGGTAAACAAATTAGTCAACTGTCTCAAGCGCTTTGCCATCAAATAACATCTTACACCACAATCTCTGTGTTCTGTGTGCTGATTGTCAGTTCAAATTCACAGCAAGCATCAACGAATGCAGATAGTAAACATTGCAGATCCCTCATCGAGTGGGTTGTAACTGCAGTTTACCTGCCAAGATCAACTCTCTGATAAGTACTTTCCTAACCCTGGTCTAACACCCCCCCCCCCCCCTGTTCATCATATACTGACTCCAAACGTGCTAAATACAATAAAAGCAGGCTTTTTTGACACTTTTAGATGTATTAGGCATATAATGCTATAACTATATGTTATAGACCCATCACCACCCAGTGGATGAGATGGTCACCTTCACACCAGCCGCCGGTACTTTCCAAGACTTTAACTGTTACTTATTTAAGGCTAGATCGACCTGGAAGCCAAGGTCGTGCATGAAAAACTAAATCCGACACCACGCGGACTTGACCCACGACCTTCTGATCTGCAGGCGAACGTGTAGC